AAGACATGAATGAAAAGTGCGAAGCTGACAGACTGCGAAATCCGTGGATTAAAAGTGCTAAGTCCAAATTGTGTGGGACGATATCGACGAACTTCAGGAATAAGTTGTAGGGATTTTGACGGCTGCAGTGACGCCGACTTGGACATTTGAGAGTTTTGAGTTTGACGAAGATGGCAATGAACGTACGAATAAAGATCTGAGAAGTTTTTTTCAAACGGCTATGAATTTTTATAATTTTTACTGTGTAAATTAGTAAATTATTATTGATCTTGTATGACGGTTGATTCATAATTTGTCGAGACCGGAAATCATTTTACGCAGTTTAACCCCTGACATTTTAATTCATTTTGAGTTCACGCGTATTGGGCACATTTGTCGGCGGGAAAATCCTATTATTCAAATGATTTCTCACTGTCGATTTTTATTATTTCTGGTTTATCTGTCACATTATAAGCAATACATTATTTTTGTTTTACTTCTAGTGTTGCATATTGTTCATTTATCTCCGTTGCATGTTTTCATTTGCCGTTCTATTCCCTGCCGCAGTTCGATCTGCGTTTTGTCAACATTCGCGTTTTTTTCCGGGTTTTTTTGCCGGGGATCTCCTGGCAAACGCCCACCCCTTTTTTTTGGCAATTTTCCATGTTCAGGACCCTGGGCTTATACCCGGATAAATACGGTATATGATAACAACCATCTATTGCCTAACTGCTGCAGCAAATATGATTGATATGAATGAATTACAATTGTACAATGATAACATAATTCAAAAACCGTTATTACTAACTAACCAGTCTCATCTCATTGAATACTTTAGATGTGATAACATACCCGTTTACCAATTGACACCTACCTTAGCCATACGTAACCCAATCATTTTGTGTGCTCAAAATGTAGATATTATTTAGTAATTTAGTTGACATTCACATACAATTTTAGCATGCAATTCATATTAATAGGGAATTACATACTATTCATTTATTTCATATGTATAAATTTATCATCTATTTAGGCTTAATTCACCATATTGGTTAGATTTCATATGTAGCTCTAAGTATGTGTGTGAATGAGGTTGGATATCTGAAGATATTGTTGAGTCATTGCTAATTATACTTGCCTCGTGGTCAATAATTTTTCAGAACTGTACAGAACGTTGTGAACAATTCTTGAAATCGCATGACATTGTTATAAACATTGCACTGTTTTGTGATATAATTTTATTATTGCAGTGTGTATTAATTAACGAGAACTGACGATAGTGGTAAAGCTCTCATGTGGTTACTATAAATTCTGCAAATATTAGTGAATGGTATGAGTCTATTTTTACCCCAGTAATTTGTGTTTTGCAGTGACAATGTCCTCCATTTTATGGCAAACATGGCATAAACTCTACCCTCA